CCATGCACACCCGTGAAATTTTATTCGAACAGTTCGGAGTTCAGTCACAAGTACAAGGAGATGAACCAGCGTTGCTAAGAGCAAAAAAAGAACTAGGAGATGGCACGGAAAGTGGATGGTTGGTTGGACAGCCCACTTGAACGAAGGCATCGGATCAACCATAACACAGGACGCTTTTCTCATACCTCAAACCGGAATCCGTACGCGTTCATCCTGAGGCCACTGTCAGACCATGGGCTACTTGCGAAGTGATTGGTGATGCCCTCAGTTTCGCTTCGGCACTGGGATATGTGTCCGTATGCTCCAGAATTCACTGTCTGTGCTTGCGCTTATAGTGTTGTTAGACAACGATCACAAATCTACAAACGTGGATATGCATTTCGAAGAGGTGCTCTGATAATACAAATGTTCCAGCAAGAGCAGGTACGTACCCGTGTTGATATTGTCGCTCTCTTATCGCGCGTTGACTTTACTTGACTAGGTCGACCCAAAGACCTCCCTCCCTATACCAGCACACACCGACACACTCTGGGAGGTCGAGGTCAAGACTGCCACTCAAGTTAATACATCTGCACAAGCATCTAGCGGGCACGTGCAAGTGAGCACAGTCCGTACAGCTATTGATGCTGTTCTCGAAGTTCAGCTCATCATGAAAGGACTACTGGACCTCCGGCGACAGGATCTGTAGCTTAAATCACTCAAGCAGACGGTTGTTCATTATTTACACTGGATTTGAGATGGTCACCTGCTATTCTGTGCCACCTCCTTGTCCTCAAACTACATCACTGTACACTCGACTTGTGATTGAGTACTGAAGTCAAAGTCACAGGCACCATGATGTTGACTGGACCTTGTAATTTATTGGGTAGCTTGAATCAAATAACTGCTAGACCGTTTGAACCAACATGATATAAAGCGATACAAAAACATTGTAGGAGTAAGTGTTGGTGTAGTAAATCATTGACATATAGCCTATATGCAGAATTTGATTCGATTAGGACGTTCGAAAAACACTCCACGACTATGCTGCCTCATTCGACTTCTACATCTCTAGCGCAGACTATTACGTCTATGGAATCAACCGCCAGTGGGTCATCAACTCGTCTTTGTGCACTTTGTTCGACCGCTGCACGTTATACTTGCCCGAGGTGCTCTACTCCAACATGCTCCCTACCCTGCTCTCGTACCCACAAATCCAAAACCGGATGTAGCGGTGAACGCAATAAGGCGGCCTATGTACAGATGAACGCTTACGGGTGGGGTACGATGATGCGCGACTATTGTTTTCTTGAAGAAGTAGGCAGAAAAGTGAGTGAATGGGGCGGAGAAATTGCTCGTGAAGGCTACCCAACGAATGTGAAAGCAAAAGATATGAGGGGAAGAGGGGGAGCACGTGGAGCCAGCGGAAGAGGTAGAGGCGGAAGGGGGACTTCAAGGGGTGGTGGATCATCCAAAAGGGATCTGCTAAAGGCTCATCTAGACAGCTTGGACATCGAGATGGATGTCCTTTCCGTCGGAATGCAACGCAGAAAGGTAAACCAATCGACTCTTGATACAAAGTGCGCTCTTCTCTTCCGACCTTACGCATATGCTGACTCTCATCAGGACGCAGACTGCACTATTGACGATAGAGTTCAGGTTTTACCCTGGAGCGCCAGCACAATCTTCATCCGCAACATCAGTTCCATATACAACACTTGTGCATCGCAATCCCATTAATTCGTCTTTAATATCACTTCTTCAGAGACGCGTTCCTCAGCATACGTGTGCTAACAAGGACCATACCAAATCGAAGAAAGAACATCCTTGTCCAGACTGGGTTACTTCTCTTGTCCACCCTCATCCAGACGATCCCGAAGGCTTCAGAGTTCCTCTCTGTTACTTACCTGCACAAATGGACATAGCCAGAATACCACATTATCCAGGCGTCGGAGTGCAGACTGGCCCATCTTACTATAAACTATGTCCCTCTCAAACTCTTCAGGATTTGCTTCAGGGCACGCACTTCGCTGAATTCCCCACCATCCATGTACATGATCCGGACTCGTCTACATTCATCGGAAATGTCATGGCCAAAAAAGGTCAATCCTCGTCGATGTCCGAGCACGAGCACGAGCACGACGTCCGAGCTATAAAAAGACGAAAGCTAAGTGCGAAAGCGGGGAGAAAGGCGATCTCGGGACTCGTCGGTGACTACGGAAGTGAAAGTGAGTCTGCATCGGAAAAAGCGGCAGAAAGGCAAACACGAGACGAGTTGGGGGCTTTAGGGAACTATGCAGAAAGCGAAAATAGCGACCAAGATCTTGCTATAGAGGCACGCACCACCGAAGATGACATGTCCAGCATAGGTTCTTCGTCGGCGGATGAAGGAGAAAGTCCTGCGCTTGATTATGCTGCCGTTCTCGAGTTAATCAAACAAGCACAAGGCGCAGCTGATTATGATTCGGAGGTGGTTGATTGGGGTGACGATTGGGATGAAGACGTAGCAGAGTAACTTCCCTTTTTGTCGCCTACCCTGTTGTGTATGCAGACCTTCTCCCCCCTTCCCTCGTGCGCTGCATAGATTCTAGGGGTTGGCACTCCAAATCGAATCTCCGAATGTCCACATCCGTAAGCAGCTACGACTAACGAGCATTGTTCACTAAGGCGATTGTGGTCATTGATACAGTGGAGCAACCACAGCATGGACTCATAAATAGTGAGTCAGAAATGCTCTCTTCTTCATCCCGCTTTCCGATCCCAACCATCTCCCTTCTTCTAACATATTGCTTACAATCTCTGAATCTTAAGTTTCATCACAATGTCATCCAAAGATACCATTGAAGCCAAGCTCGTTGGTACATTCCCTGGGCGCTTCATTGGCGCAATGCCAGTGCGCCAGTTTCTTAACTTCCTGCCTGAGGCAGACGGTCGTCCAATAATGCCCAACGTGGTGTCACTGGAGGAGCTTGTAAGAATCTTACATGAACATTTCTCTGACCCATCTGATTTTGGTGTCCCTGACAGTTGACGGGTCTGCCTAAATTTACCACCAATTTTGATCTTGTCGACACTTCTGGTTGTCCTGATCCCTCTGTCGTCGTAGGCGGGTATGAATTCCAACCGACCATGGGATTATACAAAGGCGAAAGCACTCGAAACGGAGTGACAGACATGTCCGCGATGGAGGCATGGATTATCATCAAGCCTTCCGTACAACAAGACCCCTTCATCGACCCGCCGCCAAATGAGGACTTCACTGCACCGATACCTTGCCCTGAGGAGGACCTGCTGCCATATTGGGACACTAAAAGAGACACCTATCCCAGATTCGAGTCTACCGACAAGCGGTCCATCTCAACGCGCGCACATATGGTGGCATGCACTAATGCCTTCTTCGCAACGCAGTTCCGTCGCTTTGGATTTTCCATCCTCCTCTGTGGCTCCTGGGCACGTTTTGTGTACTGGGACCACTCTGGTGCTGTCGTGTCTCGGCAGTTTAGATACACGAGCAATTTCAACCTGTTGGCCGAGTTTCTATGGAGGCTCAATCGTGCGTCGCCTGGGAATCGCGGCGTCGACGTGTCTGTGGTTCCCGTTTCCCTTCCGGAGTCTCAAGACAGCGTTGTCCGGGAGCTGCTGGGCGTTGAGAGTTCCGACCCTCTGTATGGATACATTGTTCCCGTCGATACCACACTTCCAAATTCCAAAGACTCGAAGGACCAGCCTTCATCCACCCATCACTTTTACGTCGGCCCACGCCCCGCCTCGAAGCAGTGCAGCCTACTCGAGCAACGAGCTCGTAGCTTCCATGTTTGGGACCTTACGCAGAAGAGAATCGTTTTCTTCAAGGAAACTTGGAGACTTCATGCCAAAGGTACCCGCACGGAATCAGAAGTATATCGGGAACTACACACTCGTCGCATTCCCAACATCCCGACCCTCGAGCACGGCGGTGACATGTCTGCCCTTGGAACAAAAACGATCACCCACTTATTCGGCAAGGCCTGGTGGTGCTGTACCCCTAACCACAAGGCACACCTCCCGCTCGTACAACATCGAATCATCCTTAGCGGTGTTGAACGGAACCTCAGCACGTTCAAGACGCCCATGGAATTTCTGACCGTATTCAAGGATGCCCTCACAGGTGAGTTTCATCTTCAATTATTGGGTATTTTTTTTGTTTCTAAACGAGTCACTGTAGCTCACAACGAAGCTTACGAACGTGGTGGTCTTCTGCATCGGAACATCAGTATGGAGAACATCGGCATCACCAATGAGGGGCGCGGGCTCCTCATGGGCTGGGAATGCTGCTCTTCCAAATCACACGAAGAGCTATTGGCAATCCAGATGGTACGTGCAGAATTTATATATATATACCGGGATACTGACGCCACTTCAAATGACAGGGAACTCTACCCTTCATGTCTGGTGCTTTATTGGATCAAAGATCCGAGAACAAGCACCATGTGCTGGCAGATGATTTGGAATCCTTCCTGCACGTCATGGTGTACACTATAGTCCGATACCTCCCCAGCACGATGAACACCGAGCACAGGAACACCTTACTCCAAATATTTGACGAGGAGTATGTCATCGATAAGGAGGGACGGGCCATAGGCGGCTCGCGCAAGAGGAAATGGCTTGATGACCCTGAACGTCACGTCCTCAGAAAATTCCCGGCACCCCCCGACATTGCCATGTTACTGCGACAGCTATGTGAATTGTTCCCCATTCGATACAACTTCACTATGCAGGTGATCGAGCGCCACACATACGACACGCGCTTTAAGACGCCAAGCGATCTTCTGGCCAGTCACCAGGAGATGATGAGGTATGTGGGCTTCTCAGTCCTCTCGGACGATGGGTGCTCCGACATGGATATTTGTGATTTCTAGACCACCACGGTGGACAGATATGGCTTCTAATGTGTTGTAAGCGATATAGTACAGTATAAATATTATCATACGATGTTTACATACTTGATGGTGTGGCGAATGATCAAATTGTAACAATAATACTCAGATGTCATCCATCCCGAAGTCAATCTCCACTTTCTCACCCGGGTTGAATGCAGGCAGACCTTTTTATCAGATTTTCTGAGTTTTGAGCTGATATGAAGAGCATTTTTATAAACGCACCAAGATACGGACAGCTCGCACACCGGAATGCATCACCTAAGAAACAGCTCCCACAACTGCTAGTTGCCTTGGGAGCAGCTTTAGCAGCAGCGATCAAACTCTTCGCCATGTCACCAGCTTCCACCTCCACAGCGTTGTCGCTGTCGAGCAGGACTACTTTACCTGACTTGGCCTCTTCGGCTTCCAGCTCAGCAAGACCACATGAACAATTCTTGCATGCCTTCTTCCGCCTCGGGGCACCTACTATGACAGGATCGCACGTGGGGACTGGGCGTTCGCGATCTGCCGCTGTCAGGAGGGCTTCGGCATCGATTGTGGGAGTTGATGGCGATGAGAGTGCCCAGAGAGCCTTCTTGGAGGACTGCTTGGCAGGGTCGGTCTTTCTCCGGATAGGAAGTGCAGAAGGTAGAGGTGTTGCGATTGGCAAAGGCTTCTGAGCAACTATTCTGGCATCAGGACCATCTCTTACACTCTCGATGACCATGAATCCAGCTAGAGTCAACTCATGAGGAAGACTCAGGAAGCCCGCGGTTAAATTAAGAAGGTGTAGAGTTCCCAGGGGTGTCAGACCGGCAAGGGTCTGCTGAAGGAGAGATGGTAAACTTGGCGATAATGAAGTGTATTCTGATGGGGAGAGTAGGATATGGATGGAAGTATAGTTTGATGGAGCCAAAGATATCGCTGTGTCAATCACGATGATTAATGAGCGATAGGCTCCGAATTGTAGAGACATACCTCCATCAATGAGCCGATCAAGCATCTGCCTTTCGGCAGTCAGCCCTTCCTGCTGCATCGAGGCGCAAAAGAAGTGATTGATACTTTCCATCTTGAGCAGTATCTAATGAACCTATCGCAAGGACAGGCCCTTTGACGATTTCGTGGGGTGACGATGCATTCATTAAGGATTTCTTGACTTCTGAAGTGATTTGGGAGGGAGAAGGAGTGTAGATAGCGGTAGGTGCCATCAAACGCTGTGAACTTAACAGAGAATGACGGGAGGGAGGAGGACAGTGTCAGCTGAAAAATGTCCGGAGTGCATTATTAAATTAATCAGATAAATATTGATTCACTTAGATAAGCAGCGGTCACAAGAACGATTTCAATCGGCCGAAATCCTCACATGCAGTGCATTATGACAAAGATCCAATCGTGTATCGATAACAAAAAGTCCATTAGGGATACAGAAATGACAATACAGACAACATGCTGTAATAGAATGGATCAAAATGCTCTCCAATTACTGATGACACAAGACATTCTCTGAAACATGGGAACCAGTTAATAATATTAGGAATGACAGTTGGGATAGAACTAGAACATTCACGTCAAGAATTGAAGTAGAATTCACTGCTATAACTCCGGATTGGGCGGAGGTGGAGGAGGCATACCAGGTGGAGGGTGCATACCATCATGATATGCAGGTGGTGGGGCCATGACAGCCCCACGCATGCGCAATAGCATCACGCGATACCAATCTTCGCCCATGTCCTTCTCCGATGAAATTTGCTGCAAGTGCGCAAGCTCCTTCATCAAGGACAGACGCCACAAGATGTTCCCATTCTCGTCTACCTGCAAATCATCTATGGGCACAGGAGGGAAACGAAGGCCGGGAGGTGGAGGAGGCATCATCTGGAAGTTGGGATCAAATCTAAAGAAAGCCTCAGTTCAGTATCGATATTTGAAACCAAACTGCATACGTGGGGGGATACGGCGGATACGGTGCTTGTCGGCTGGGACCTGCTTCATCAGGATGCATAGGCGGCGGCTGCACGAATTGTGCATTAGGGTCGTTGAATGCTTCAGGATGATAATCCACATCCTGATCTTCCTCCGACTGTCGACCCTTTACGCCCTTCGGCTTCTTCTTCCTCACCCGATGGACACCCGTTCTCGGGTCAACGTTATCATTGACTGTCCAGTACGAGCCTTTCCCTCGGTCGGTAAGGGGACGCGGTACTTTCTCGAAGCATGGGTTAAGTGAAAGATTGTGTCGCACTGAGTTCTAGATACGAAAGCAAGGTGAGATTAGTTTGGTGCCTGGCGCGAGGAACTAATCAAAACAAATATGAACACAATCAAACATCAACATCGCGCTCGCGTGTTTGGCGTGCATCTAATCGACAATGCAGAAGCCATTGGCCAACGGCATCGGAAGAACTTTACTCACCTTCCAACCAGAAGGGGCATTCCTAAAGTAAGGAAACTGTGACGTGGAATTAGGGATTCACAAGATGCGCAAATACGAATAAGTTACCACGTACGCGGGATTCAATGGCGTAGTAGATGTCTTCGAGGAGTAGTTTTTGATTCGGAGAACCCTTTATAGCATACCTACCCACCCACAGACAAATCGAAATCGTTCACTAGAACATATCTACAGTGAATTCGGAGTCGCTTACCGTATAAGCGTAGAATATGGGTAAAATGGTTTGCTTCCTGGTGGACCATCACGCAGAGAGTCAAGGTTGATGGGAAGCCCCCCCGTTAGGTCTGCAGGTTCTTGCGGATAGTAGGAGTTGGCTTGAGCGAGCTCTGCTTCCCCAGGAGGAAGCATGTTTTGTGGCATCACTGTCGGTGGTGGCTGTTGCGACATGTCTCTTGGAACAGAAAATCACAAGATGAGCGAAGGCGCTGAACTTGCTGGCAACCTGTGGAAGGTCCGTTGATGTTGAAAAGAGCTTTCATCAAGGGGGAACATGTGCGGCTTATGTCAGGCGTGAGAAATGTGGTCGCGCACGGGCCAGTTTCCTCTCGCAGATACAGCCATTGTTGTCGAAGTATGTCTCGTCGTCGTGGACCGCGGTGACAACGAGCGTTGTGGGTAAGTGTAATCAAGTTGATTTGTTTGTTTTTGCCTGACCGACATACAGACCGACACAAGTGTCCAAATTGTTGATGACACTGTAAAACAAAATCCAAACCGACCACGCTCTCCAATACACAAACAAAGTTCGCATCAGCCGACTATGTTACTCAATAATCATCTTGCATCATTCAAGCCGACCTCATTCAAATCCTGGTCGTCCGTACCTTCACCTTTCATTCTCTATATTCGAGCCCAGGTGTTACGCTGGGTTTAGAGAGCCTCACGGCACCAGGCACCTAGATCCCTGCTCAGTGCGAAAAAAACTCAGTTGCTATTTCGTCACCGGCATCCTTCTAGGAAGTCCTGAGCCTTATATCGGGCTTGATTTTCCTATGTGTGTCTTTTTCAGAATAGTAGACATGTCCGGTGGTCGCTAAAATTCTGCCGCTACCGCTTAATCAGGAGCTATGTCCTACCTTCTTTGTCGAGCCTCGCAGCCCTAGTCCTACTACAACAAGCCTTCTAGCAGAGTCTACTTACCAACGTGCTGCATGAAGTCAGAGTCAACATGTCTTACTCTTGAACGGCCACATCCCGCCAAGGTGAGCTGTGTATCCTTCGCTTGTGATAAAATGATGTGCACATGGCAGATTATGAAAACCTACCCCATTGGTAGCAGGTGTGCATGCAACAGCTACACGAAATACATTGCATTGGTGTTCGACGTTGGATGATGCTAAGGATCATTTCCATGTTACGAACGTCTCTGAGGCAACAAGGCCTGTCGTCGCATCACCTTCGAGCGTAGCTGTTCTCTGTGCATAGCAATGCACCCCGGCTCCATGGACCAGCGTCGTCTTCGCGCGACCTTTGTCTTGTAGTCTTGGCACACCGGCGTGTTTTTTCATCCTCAAAAAGATGGGACGTTGGCGGATAATGTCCTGATTGCATATACTGCGCATGACGATTGGTGGCTCCCATCAATTTATGAAGCCTGCGCTTGTGGAAGCCATTATCTCTTAACAAAATTCTCCGAGTCTACTTCAACAAAATACATCACGGTCTGTCTCTACCCGATTCGACGATCATATAGTTGCTCGTGCTCGATCTCCGCGGGGAAACTCCACCTGACAAAAACGACTGCTCAATCCTGGGGAAAGCTTCCTCTCCATTCCTTGAACCTATGCATAGATCATGTCCAGCAATTAGGTTTCCCAATCCGTTCATCTAGCTCCAGCTACGTCTATGATGTACCCTGCTCATAAAAAAAACAAGGATATTCTTGCAACCAACCAATGATTAGATCGTCTAGGCACATACTTGAGCCGGTGGTTCGAACACTAGAAACCACGGGAAAACATAATTAACCCAGGGGCTTTATCAGGACAATAAATTTCAGCCTGTGTGGCTTACCGCCATGATTGTAGAATCAGAAGATTTCCGAGGTCGTGCTCGGACAAAGATAAGACCCCCTCTTGGCAAGAAATACTTATCCGCAGTGAGGAATACTGCTCCTCTCAATCGGTTCGGCTAAGGCAGATGAGCTCTATGATGATCATACAAATCCTGTTGGTCTGCCGGGCACGGGGGCCTACCACAGACGCACGCCGGGTCGGTGCCCGTGTATCCGAATTGGCTGTCCGTATCTACTGTCTGCTAGAACAAGAAGGCAGATATCTTGATCATATACATATTATTGTCGCTGTCACCGGCAAACTACAAGTACACCTTCCCAACATGCGACCTTGAGGAACTCAGCCCGCGGAGACTTAGGACGCACATCAGTTCATGCCAACAAGTCTCGCCGGTGACCGATCATGATGTGCATTACAATTACATGCACGTCTACCGCGACATAAAAACCGTCAAATTGCACGATCGATGCACTTGAGCTCAGCTATAGACATAGTCATAAAGTCTTGCTGATGACAAACAGATCAGCGCGAATGCTACAATCATGAAAGTCCAAATATACGCAGGCGATATCGCGAAGTGATTTCGAGAATTGTGTTGATTAACTCCGCCTTCTTTTGACCGCGGTTGATTAACCCCGCTATCCAGCCAGAGGGATGTCAGAGCCCACAGCTTCTCTGACAACAGCTGCATTGGGAGACTGAACGGACACCTTCCCAATACAGTGTCGCTGCTCCCAGAGATACTAGGGTGTGTTGGAAAATAATCACAGCAGCTTATTATCAATAACCGGCAGACTCATTGCGGTATTGCCTAAAATTTCACCAGACTCAAGTTGGCTAGTTTGATCCAACATTGGTGAGCCAGATAACAAACATTCGAGATAAGAACTATGTGGACTCGGATTAGCTATGACTCGGAGCAATGGGAGATACCCAATATTGTCACTTGAACCATTTCTCCTCATCTTCAGGGCGCCGCCGGGCCACCGGCGAGTCACGATGAAAAGGCAGAAATGATTTAGGATCAATCTACTTACATGGTGTCATTGTAAACACATCGGCGCTGTGTTCGGTCAGCGAGACTTGAGCTCAACAGAGGATGACAAAAATATCCCTATCAAGGAATCAGCACTGTTTGCTTAGTAGTGGGACCTGAGCTCGACAGAAGATCGATACTTGCAGCCTGTTCAAGGGATCAGCAAGGCTCGATCTCGACAGATGATCGATATACTCGTACGCTGTCAACAGGTCAGCGAGGGCCAACAAGGCTCGAGCTCAATAGATTATCGACACGCTCACAGTCTGTCACCAGAGGTCAGTTGAATATGTTCTGTCAGAAAGACTGAGCGCAACCCACTCACAAATAACGCACCCTCATAGTCTACGATCTGGGGATCCCCGGATTTCCAAACTATGCCCGATGAGATTACCCAAGCAGAGCCAAGATATCGCTCATTAAAATCTAGTTGTTATTTTTTGCCCCAGATCAGGTTCGAGGAGTTACATTTCGACTAATGCTCACCTTCCAGTTGGTCCGCTGAATTGGGACAGATAACTGCTTGAGCGAATAATCATTCAGAACTTCAGCCGTGCGTTTGATGAGTGGCCCGCAGTCCGCATCATAGAAAATTGTAAATGTACGAGAGCGGTGGTTAATAGTTATACAAAAACCTTAGGTGTGGCCCATTAGAAAATACTTCTCTGGCGTATTGCGAGGTCCGTGCTTGAGCATCTTTCCTCGATACTCCCACATTTATTAGCTCATGCATCAGAGGGCGTCGAATTCATCATTACTGGAACTAGTAAGGATTGCAAATGAGTCGATTATATATGACGACAGATACAAGTGCTCACTACATCCAATGTCCCGTCGCTGAGAGAAAAACTGCCATCCTCATTCATTGGAAATTTGGAATACAGCACCTATGCCAAATGATTAACCAACAACCTACATGGCATGTAAATCGTTCAAACGTTAGTTCTTAAAACCCCTTGCGATGAAAGTCTTCGACTTGTCAGATTTGGAGTGTCCTCCTGCCTCAAACCTGCATGAAACGTGGAGGACGAATACCGGGTTGTGTGGAAAACATCATTTTATTCAAGATATAGTGTAGTTCGTGCTGAGGACTTATCAAGTGACTTCACTAGCAACTAAGAACATACCCTACATCTCTGGCTGGCAGTCGCTAAAACGGAGACATCGATCACCTTTTTCCCCGCGTTGTCACATATATCTGGGTCCTCAGTTAACTCGCAAACTCTCTGTAGGATTGTGGTCCTGCGTTTATGAGTACTCGGAAAAATCAAATTTCTAGTCTCCAGCTGACTTTGAAGGACCATGGTCCATGATGGAGAAAGGACAAGGCTAGTGAGCGGGACTTAGTGAGTGCTACGCGACTGATCACGTGATACTATTTGTTCATGTTTCAAACTTGAGCTTGAACGCGCTGAAATTGACCTCAATATTGCCGTGGATCTGCAACCTCTGAGCCATGTATATGCTACCCTGCCGACCGTCCCCGTCGAAATGCACATCCTTGACATTCGTGATTAAACGCCATATATCGCGGGCTGCCTCAAAACACCACGTCCGCATGCGCGCCCTCGTCTCTCTATACCACCAGTGCGACACCTTTGTGACTCCCGAAAACCTCTCCCAGAAGATAGATGAAGCCTTTGTTCCCCGAACAAATAATCTCACCTACAACTCCAACTTCGAGAAACGCAGTTTTGCAGAGCTGAAGAGGTTAGCTGCCGAAAGAGAAGAGGAACCACGTCATTTCTTCGGAAAGAGCATGAAGCTGTCTCCCATTGGCCTAAGGGGATCGTTGGCATCTTCAAGCCCCAACAATGACCAACAAAGAACCGCGAGGGCAACAGAGGCGCTCGTAGGGGTGAGCCGGGATGGAAAGCCGTTGTGGACTGCAGTCCAGGAGAATGCACCGAAAATAGAAAAACAACTACAGGAAGATCGGAGGCAGGGCGTTTAGCTAGGTAAGCCAATTTGTTGATTACATCTGCTTACTCCGATCATGACGGTCTATCCAGAGTTGTCACTTGGCCTGCGGATGATTAGGCAGACTCATTTAGAGTGACTCAGCATTATTTTTATTTTCATTCTGCAACATTGCATCCGGTTACTCCTTATATTGACGGCGAACTTCTGGCTCATCATGGACCTGTAATTGTGACGGAAGACCGGGTGGTAAGGCGCAGTGAGCTATATTGCGTGAACGCCATGTCTGGGCGCACCGGTAGATTTCATTTATCTGAGACTTGGTAAGATCAATCGGAACTGCTAAATAGATCTTGCACTAGCATTCGGATGGCACATGAAATAGTAAGCAGCTTTCATACTATAGCTATGGATGGCGGCTAACCTATTACGTGCCACCTTAAGTATTTACCTATGTATAAGTACTAACAATGCAACTGCGAGTAACCCAACCCAACTCGGTCCACCATGAGCTCCTCGCTGGCCGGTAAACTCAGAGCTTTTGTGTTTAATCCACATAATAGCCCAAAAGTATATCAGGACCTGAAGGCTGCTGATGTGCCAGTAACGACTGCCGAATGCAGGTCTTGCGCCGACCCTTGTGATCAGGGTGAGCCTATCATGATCAAACCCTACCCTGTCACGCGCGCCAACTTGAACATCGATCTGTAGATCACGATGACTTTTCTAGCAGATTGGACATCGACCTGGACTCGGACATGATAGGATCAGTCAAGCCCTACCGCCGACAGGTGCGCCTTGGCACTCGTGCACCATTGTAATATGATTTGTTGATATGGTGGTGACACAGGTGGTCATATCAACAGGCCAAACAGACTGGGAGAAGGAAGTAACCGAAGTCGAAGGCACGCTTGCTGCCTTGTTGATGACTGCCAACTCTTCATTGGGCACTTCAAAGAAGCCCAAGTCCACCAACGATCCCCTACCGTCTGGTCTTTTCTCTCATACCAACGCGGGAAGGCTCGCCATTCTCAATGGAAGTCACAGACCTTTCTCTCGTGATGAGTCGGAAGAGACTGTGATCGTCCTTCCAGACTTTATGGTCGTTTCTGGAGTCCCACGAACTTTGACGGGCGCTGAGGCGTTGTGGAAAGCTGCTCTTGATCCAGCTCTTGATCGGGTTGGCGTGACCACCACCCGATCGGACAATCTCAGTACATGGGTTCTACAATACTCGTGTCTGATACTGCTGTGTAAGTTTCTATACAGTCGCGTGTTGAGATATATCTCATGAGTTCTACCAGGCTCGCACAAGAGACGAGACAAACGATGTGCCATCGCAGCGCCAATGTTAGAGAAGAGTGAGTCCACTGACTCCTTCCCGGCCCTGAATTAACGCCTACGAAAGCCTTCCAGCAATATCTCGAGCGAGAGGGCTGGGAAGTCCACACCGACCTGCACGATCTCACTTCCGAACCCTCCCTCGAGTCACAAGCTACCTCAACCACCGAGAAGGAACAATTAATCGAGACTCAACTCAAATCCCTTCACGCTGAGCACAAGGCGTTGATACTGAAGAACTCACATGTCGGCGGACATAAATTCGCAGGCAACTGCATCGTGTGTGACCTTTTTGCTGTCTAAACGATATGTTGACGTCGATCTTGCAGATCTACACTCCTCGTGGAGCTGGTGTATGGTATGGGCGTGTCACGCCCCATGAAGTAGAATCGATTGTAAAGCACACAATTATTGATGGCCAAGTCCTCCCAACTATTTTTCGTGGTGGGGTTGACCTCGCCTGCCGCGGAAAAAAGACCCTGTATGATTGGTGACGGAACCATCCCTTAAATATCAATGATAGATGCTGTAACCTGCTAGCAGGGGAATTTACGCGTGTCCCACCCAAACGACGAAAGGGATACAGGCCACATGAATTATTACAACTCCTTTAAAATGGGGTACGTTATACTATAGAACAACAGCGATAACAGAAGCAGGTAAAAACAATCCACGATGGACAATCTTGTGTTCGACTCGAAACAAGAGATATATAACATGCTCCATAAAGAGGATATGAGAAAAGGGGGGGAATTGCATGGGGAAGGGTGGCGAGAACAAATATGCGATTAAATCAGATAAGTAGTAATGGGAGGCATAGTACCTCAAGCGGTGAGCACATGCACCAAATAATGCAAAGGTCCAAATTCGTCCGGATGGAATAAAAGCTCCGCGAGGTGCCGGCTTGGACGGCGTGGGCAGCTAATACATCATACAGCTGTATCTTCATCGATTCCTCTTCTTCGGTTCGAGTACCGTCCCGCGAAACTCTCCCTGTCTTCGAACTCGTCTTCTGTGGTCACCTCTGCGACCTCTTCATCCGCCACTGCCTCATCCTCATCCTCATCAGGTTCTCTACCCATGATGCCCTGCATCACCACACTTTCGCCTCCAGAATACGTGAACCCGCGGAAATTCTCTTGAACACTGTTCGTCAGCGGCGACCCTGCCACATCTTGCTTCTTCCGTGATCCAATCTTGATGGCACGTCCCGTGCCATTTCCAGTAAGTAAGGAAGAGGGGGGGGGCACTGAACCATTTAGATTTACGCCATTGACATGACGGTCACTACCCAGTGGTCCGTTCGGCATGTGCGATCCTGGCAAGCCGCACTGCATTTGTGTCCATTCTTCGCTAGGATCTTCTTCGTCCGGACTTCCATGCCCGTCGAGACCACCACCAACCTCTTTGATATCAGCAGTGGTGAACTCTGGATCGAAGTTCGCAGTCGACTCATCCGACTCTACGACGGGTTTAAACGGTGGCGTCACCTGCTTGAGGAGAAGAGCTTTCCAATCTATACATGAGAAGAACGGGTGTTCTTTCAGTTCCGCGGCATCGCGTTGTGCCCCCAAGCGATGTTTAGGATTTCGGTTTAAAAGCTTGATAAGCGGTTATCGGAAATGTCGAAACGAATTGAATCACGGCACTCACCCCCTTCACAAACATCTTGCCGTCTTCGCTGATAACGTTTCTCGGGAACCGAATCTTCCCAAAACAAATGTTCTTGTACATTTGCTGTGTGTCTTCGGCATAAAATGGACTCCAGCCGCAGCACATCTCGAAGAGGAGTACGCCCAGTGACCAAAAGTCGACAAGTTTGCTATATCCATGCTCGTCCAAAAGCACTTCAGGGGCGAGGTACTCGGTTGTACCACAGAATGTCGTGGTGAGTTCGTCGGACCGTAGATCCGCCTTTGATAACCCAAAATCGCAGAGGGCGACATGGCCAGTGGCGTCAAGAAGGATATTTTCCGGCTTGAGATCCCGATAAACAATGTTGTATCTATGCAGATGCTCCAGGGCCAGAACCAGTTCTGCGATATAAAATCGGGCCCGTTCTTCGGAGAAACGTGTTTCTTTCTGGAGGTGCCAGAACAGCTCGCCACCGCTCTTGAAGTCCGTTATCAAGTACAAGTCTGTATCCGTCTGGAAACTGAATTTGAGGCCAACAAGGAATGGTGATTCTAGAGAACGTTGTAGGATCTTTCGCTCTCCGATCGTGTGAGCGACCTCCTTCTTGGCAACAATTTCCCTCTTTGATAGAACTTTCATAGCATAAATTCGCTTTGTATCGCGTTTCCGGACTTGGAAAACCTTGCCAAAGGTACCGCGTCCGATCAACTTGAGGAACTCAAAGTCGCGTGGTGTAAGCGCACGTTTAGTCTGTCACATGAAAGTTGAGAGTGAGTGAGAAGCGTTGTCAGGAGGGGAGATCAAGTGATGCGAAAGGGAGGCCGAAATCGTGGAGTGGGTGAGAATGAAAGAGGTTAGACTGGTATAACGTACCTTGTATTGCTCGAATGTGATCTGTACCCGCATTTCTCCGCTTATTACTTCGTTTTCGAACGGCCGAAGCCTGTGCGTACATAAGCAAATGATGCCATTAGTAACGGAAGGACGGGATGACAGTTGACAGAGTAAGTGGGAAGTTGTACGAGATGGTACGTACTTGTACCATTGATCAACTGTATGGTCATGGATGAGGACTGGCTTGATTTGTACAGTGCCGAGAAATAGATGGTCCGCGACACGGTCATACAGGTTAAATGAAACAAGGGATTCTTCGGACGTAACGTCGCTAGAAAGAATTAGAAAGCGAAATTTGATAAGTTGATTATGGGATACTGACAATGACACCTCGTGTTTCCACACGGGATTATGTGCGGATAAACGACCAAAAAGGCCTTGAGTTGTAGAAGGTTGGTTGGTTGGGGAAGGTTGATTGCACGAAAGAGATGAAGGGGGGGAATTTCCGGGACTAGGCTTGCCTGGTGGACGGGGAACGCCGATAGATGAGAGAGCTGAGAGAGCAATAGAGGAGGAGGCGCGAGAGAGAGCGGTCGCAGTTCCCTTGACCTCCTTATCCATTTCGTCGGTGGGATCACGACTTACGAACTCGTTTTGCTCGAATTGAACGACGACATAAGGTCGTGAGCGTATGGATGTGACATTAAGACCACGGGCAGATATGAGCTTGACGTGAATCTGACCCTTTGATGTGCCGCCGGTTGAGTGGGGAGGAGCGGTTGAGGTAGATGCGATTGAGGAAGTCCTAGTCGAGGGGGACGATGACGATGGCGTATTGGATTTATTCTCCATTGAATCTGAGAGGTTGGGTGATTTTTTAGTGTTACGCATTGAAAAATCCGGTGCATGAAGGGAAATTTGGGTTGTAGGAATACGAGCGGCAAAGGCACCGGATAGAGGTGTTATAGGACCTGGCGGCGTGAGATCGGCGTTCGCCGTGGTAAGAGAGGGAGAGCCAGTTCCCAGTAAATGGTGATGAATTGAAAAGGCTGGTGAAGTTATAGTTGGAGTTGCCAGACCATTGCTGGATGAGCGCGGTGAATGAGATGATTGTACCTCGAAAGGATTAGGACGCTCATGACCATCAGCATTAACTCTGGGTGTTATCTGGTCAATAGCTGACCAGAGTTTAATCATTTTTTGAATTGACAAAAAAGACAGTGAAGAAAAAGACGACGAGGAAGACGACGACGACTTATCGGACGAAAGTGGAGCGGACCTCATTTTATGATATGTGGTGGAGCTTGTTCGAGGCCTCGCTACTGTTTTAAGAAGATCATCATACGCTAACCGAGTAAATTTTTAGATAAAGTCTCCTCGGGCTCTCTTCAAATATTCTCTGGCCCATCGAAGAAATCCCATTCCTCCACCAATAATCGACCCAACCATTAACGCACGACTTGCAGAACGCCATCGTAGTCGGTCTAACCAGTCAAATCAGTCGACACAACTCACCACACGTCCTTCAAACTTACAAACAATAGAGAAAGCCCCCGCAGTACCAACACCAGCTCCAACCTCTTTCAAATCATCAAATCCCGCCCCACACCGTCCTAATCCATCCTCAATCCCAACCCAAACTAGTGCTGTAGCTCCAAGTTTAACCCCTTCCTTACCACCAGATAAAAGTCCGGCAGCCATTCTTTTGTAATTTTTCGTTTTATTGTAGAGATACCATCCCCGAATCGTCTTCGGTGGCCGGTGTGCGTTCTCCGCGAGAAAACGAAGGGATGCAAGGCGAGATCCACGCACCGCCCCGATGAATACCCCCACCAACGCTGCGGAAGCAGGGAGAATAAAGTACCGAGACTCCAAAATTGGTGTCACGTCGTATCGCTTGGTCCCATCCTCGTGGTTAGACATGAGTATGCTATGAAGAATTATGATTCATGAAAGTCGAGTGTAACAGTTGCACAGATCGTCGCTTCCTAAATCGAGTCAATGACGTCTTCCTCATTTGTACATAAAATAAATCGCGCCATAACGCGTACCGGCCCGTACAAAATATCTAGGTCATACATTCCGCGGTCCTCACAGATGAGCCTTAGACAGTACAGCAAACTCCTTTTGTTTCAGTTCCGCAGCGCGCTTATGCAGTCCCGGTGCACGCTTCAACTCACGCTGCCCGACCTGTTGGATGTGAACCTAAAACACAGGGTAAGATATTTACTATTTTCAGTCATGCAAACATACTTCATCAGGTCCCTGTAAAAACCCGTTAATCACAAGTACACGACGATGCAGGAACAGAAGACGCACATCCGCCAACCGCAGTGTCCGCAGTTGAGCAAACATGTTCGCGAGTTCTTGGTCTTGGCTCAATCCCTCAGCACCATATGCTTGCATAGCCCGATCGACCACTCCGCAGGCCATCGCAGGCACGACAAACTATAGAATAAATTGCATCATAGACTGGAAGAGCGAATCGAGAAGCCGTGCCTTGGCAATGCCGATTTCCTTCAACGCGCCCTTGGCTCGTTGCTTGTCAATCTTCAAGACACGTCATATCTTAGCACTGCAACGACCAACACAGGCACTCACTTGAAGCGCTGCGCTCATGACAAGGAGACGTGCAGACTCAATCTCAGCCCGCGACCGCGCAATTTCAGCCACCACCGTACCTGAATCACAAGCGAGGTCGTCTGAGCTTCTAGAATTTTCATGACGAAGAATTGGTCACTCGCCATGTTGGTAAAGAAATTTGTCAAAAGTCTTTCGGGTAGGGTCTGTGACGCGCTCAATCATAAGGTCCAGAGCCCGCGATGCTGCACCTATCGAGCGCATACAGTGGTGAATACGTCCTGGACTATCAGTAGGTCAGACTTGAGTGGAGCTTGGCAACAAAGCTCGACCCTGCATACCCTAAGCGGCCTTGAATTATCTCCAATACACCATAAGCCAAATGCAAAATACAAGAGCCGTAAGCTGAAAACGTCATTTACCTCAAATCCTCGTCCCCAGCCTAGCACCAAGTTGCCCACAGGCACCCTGACATTGTCATATATGACCTCACAGTGTCCCTCAGGCGCGTCATCGTACCCAA